GCCAATTTAGCCCTATTAATATTTTGCTAATATTATGTAAAGGGAAATTAATTTATCCTTGTTTATGCTACTTCACTCAAGTGGAAATGACATGGCTCAGAAACTTGGAAGATTACTCATTTAATGGTCTTGTTTCAACTAGGTCATTTGTTAGCAATTTTTCTGCCATTTGCAGACTTTAAAATCTTCAAATAGGCTTTGGAGTCATACAAAATACCACTATTTGGCATCAAGTAAACAGAAAACTGCCACTACTGGTAAACAAGTCTTTAGTTCAAGAAAACAAAGTAACAAACTGTTCTCAGGAAGAGAAAGTAACTAGTAACGCTGAAAATCCATCTACCTGAGCTTTTTTAGAATTCGAGTGCTTTGGTTGCTCATGGCTACTGCTCCTGAACTTGTATGCAGCTTTTTGGCTTCGATGCACTTAAATTGCCTCAGCTCACAGTTTACACTAGTGACCCCTTTAAAATAATTTCTATTAAAAGAGCACAAAGCCACTTTATAGCCGGAGGAATAAATTAAGGGATTTAGTAAAATCCATACATTTAAAAATCATTAGAGGACATACGTGAAGTAGAAACCTATTTCACTAAATCATGACCATTTTAATTAATTAGTAGAATAGGTTAATTTGAAGCAGTGCTTAGGTATAATTAGGAAAATTTTTTTTAAAAATAGGAATACCTGAAAATTTCTTGCCTGTGTAAACACAAGACCTGCTTATCTTCTCCAAAGAAATACCTAACTAGAATCTCAGGTGGACATAGCTGCTAGAAACAAAAATTCTTTCTCGAAATGATTCTCAAACATGGCAGTATCTGTCTCCCTTCACCTGGGGGCACAGAGCAATGTCTAGAGACAATGTTGGTTGTTATAACTAGACGGGGCTAGTACTTACTGGTATCTAGTGGATAGAAGACAAAACACTCCTAAAAATATGTACAAAGTCTAAAATGTTAATAGTCTCAAGGTCTAAAATTCTGATCCAAAATAATTAATTTTTCTACTGAAGTATAAATTCTGGAAGAAAACATGGATTTTTATTTCTAGAATAAAGCCAGAAGCTCATTTCCAAATCTCCTGGGAACGTCTAATTTAGGATTGCAAGCAAACACACACCTTTTGAAAATGCTACACTAGGATTACACATAAACTAGCGTTATACATGCTTAGCTGCCCCTACCTAAGCAAGCAGTTTTTATCATGTTTACAAGTGAAATGTCTGTAAAATAATTATGAGGAGGAATAGAATCATTACAGACTATCAAAACATGGAGCTATTATGGTATCATACAAAGCATAATTCTTTAGTCTCTTTTTAATAAGCATTCTAGAATAAAATCATTCCATGTTCATCTACTGTTAATAACATTGGCTAAATACACTAATTCCAATACTCCCTAATCTGTAAAGAATTTCATTTCAAAAAATGTGGGTTTTTTCCTTTCTACTTAAAACCTCAGCAAAACAAGCTTCCCAATCATCCCACATAATCATCTCAAAGCAGGATTTAAAGGTATGAAAGCCAGGATACTAATGCTCCAAGACAGAGCTTCACCTACTAAAATCATTCTGAAACCTGACACACTGATATTACAGGACTCAACAAAATACAATCATATGCATTACCTACTTGGTACTTTTAATTAAAATTGGCTTTTCAAATGTCCTACAAAATCAAACCTCTTTGTAGATTTAAAGCTAGCACTCTAAATTATGGAGAGCAAAAACATGTTGCTGAAAGCTCTTCACAAAATCTTTTCCAGGTATTAATATGAAAACAAGCTAGTTACTGTATTAGGAAGGAAAAATATGTGATTTCATTTTGCTTTTTTCATAAGAAAACAGCTTTATATGGTGAGCTTTTCATAGCTGGTAGTCTAATACTTCTATTATGTTTTATTTTTGCAATCAAAAGTATAAAGAAATTTTAGTTAACTGGAATATTCAGTTAAAACAAGAATAACTTTTTTCTAAACAGTAAATGACCTATTACTATAACTGCAAGTTTTCTATTGAATAGAAAATCAAACAAGATTTCAAAAAATGTATGAATTTGTGGTGGCAGTGGTTTGAAAATTTAATTCAATTTAAAAGAGCTAGAATTAAAAAATTTTGCTGAAATTTAGTATCTAAATATCCAAATATTGACAATTTTAATAATTTAATTTTCAGTTAATCTTTTTGTTTGTTTTGAGACAGGGTCATACTTACTCTGTAGCCCAGGCTGGCCTCAAATTCAAGGTCCTCTTGCCTTGGTCTCCCAAGAATTTTCAGTACAATTAGTATGGGCAGAAAATGCTACTTTAATTAAGAAGCATTGCTATATACTTTGTCATATGACTAAATGCAAATTAAAAGGCTCATTAACAAGTTAACTGAATTCTTCAATGACTGAAGATTTTGTATACTTCACCAGTTTGAACTTCAATCAGAAAGTATTTGTAATTGTATGGCTGGTACTGAGCCAGATATAAAAATGTCAGGACATCCCCTAGAACTGGTTAATTAGACATGTCCTGTGTTTCTTTGTTCACCAGGGAATATGTAAGGAAAAAAGTAACTTGGTTGTTTGAGTATAATTAAAAATTGCTTAAATACAAACATTTAATGAAGTCATCATATTCCAACTTTTCAAGATTTTAATTGCTAATATTTAAGCATTTTTCAGATATCATTAAAAATAATACATGACCATCACCGGGTACCAGTGGCTTATACCTATAATCCTAGCTACTCAAAAGAGCCCTTATCTTGAAAATATCCAACACAACAGAGGGCTTAGCAGAGAGGCTCAAGTGGTAGAGTGCCTTCCTAACAAGCATAAGACAGAGTTCAAACCCCAGTACTGCCAAAAAAAGGAGACATGACCAAAATATTAAACATTATCATTTAGTTCTACTGATTTTATACATAACTTTTAATGTTAGGCTCTACAATATCAAATTTCCTTTCCTTTCTGTTTAGTTTCATAACATAAAGTCAAAACTCAACCCCATACCAAGCTTCAAAAAAAAATCAGGTAAGTGATGGGGTGTAGCTCAAGTGTAGATGTACTATCTACCACCAAAAAAAAAAATTTCATATAGATTAAACTAATGCAAATGTCTGCATGCAAATCAGCAAACAGCTTGTTCTCATACTGCTAACTTTTCGGAACCCTCATGTGGAGAGCTGCTAAGCAGAACATCCTAATATTTTCAATAAGTAGCACAAGTGGTAGAGTATGTCTAGACTTCACATCTTACTACCTCCATTCCAGTATCTGAATCACATCACCATGAAATGTGGAGTTAATCAGTATAACTCAGCATTTAAATTCTGATCATCCTTCTCCGTTACTGTGTTGTGTGTGTTTGTAGATTAACACTAAACCATAAAAGCAGGATCTATTTTCTTCAGTAGTACAAGAATTTGTTAGAAAAATGAGCTGGCTTGTAAGACTTAAAAAAAAAACCCACAACATAACATGCATCTAGGAAGTTACAAACAAAGGAAAAATATAATACAAATATTTGAATTTAACTTTAAGCAGTTAACTAAGAGATTTCAAAAAACATATGCATGTCAGTCTCCTATTCAGTCCTAGAGCCTGCAGTATTGTAATTTATTGTGAAATCATGTAACCAAAAAAAATTAAATAGATCCATAACATGTATACTACAGTAATGCATAGTACGTAATACACTAACATCTCAAAATAAATTCCTATTACAACCTTATGCAAATTATGGTATAAGCTATCACCTGCCATTTGAAATGGCACTCACTTCATGTATGCTTCCATGTCAATGTACTGATCAAAATCCTTACTAGTAGCAATGCCTTCTGCATTATCATCTTCATATTCAAAACCAAGCTGTTAATCTAGTAAGCACAGTCTGTTATCAATTAAAACCATTGCATATTTGAATGTTAAAGCAGGTAAGTAATATAGCAGGAAAAATAATTCACAGTTTCAAAAATAAAGGGTACAATTTTCAAACATCTGACTGAAACTGGTCAATTTAACAACTGCCTCTTTCAATACATGTAAACTATGTTTGCACAGCATAATGAGATGTCCTTTATTTCAGAAGTTAGTTCTTACTGTTACAGGAGCACCACAAATTTGAAGGAAGAGGCTACAGTATGAAATGAGCTCACTGAAAAAATATGTTAAATAAAATTTCAACTACACCAAAGGTACTGCAAAAAGCTGTCCCCCGCCGAGCACAGATCTCTTTACCAGGAAAAGCAGTTAACACTAACCAAATATAATGTAAGTAAGCTCTACAAGAGATGAGAAAAAATCTTAACTACAAGAAAATATTATCAGCTAACAAACCTGTGATAGCCAGCTTCAGAAATTTCCTAGAAACAAAATTAAAAAGCATACATAGTATTTGTATCCTTTGATAAGGAAGGTAGACATCCAATAGGAATGAAATAATCATCTGGCTTTAAGAACTTCTATGTGGAAACACACGCACACAAATGGGTAACTGAGAAAAACTGAGTATTTAAATATTCAAATTTTAAATGTGTAAGAAAATTTATAATAGAAAAAAAGTGGCAAATTGTTACTGTGACTTGATTTGCTGAAAACATCTGCAAATTCACACGAGCATTAAGAAAATCAGTTTCAAAAATTTACTCCTCTCTCCAGATAGGTGTTTTCTGTGCAAAAATAAATATCTGAAAATTGCACTAATACTTATTTTAACTTTTGTATTATGAACAATCTGCACATGCTGTTTTACAGACAATACATATTTGTAAACTTGCTCATGCAAAATTAGTGTGCGCAACAGGGCTATTGTTAGTCCATATACTTAAAAAATGATACCTTATTATTCTTTTAAAACTACCAACCCCTCTGAAATAGAACAAATCTTATATGGATAGTCTCGTCTGCCAGCTAAAAATCAACCAAAGTTGTTGAAACAAAAAAAAACATGGTTTTTGTCTTGCAGAATTTTTGAGTTTTAAATGAGAAAATTTATAAAACAAAGAAATTCATGGTCACAAAATTTTAACATTTTAATCCTAAACATTACAAGGTAAATAGATACTGCACCCTATTGCCACATTCCATAAACCAAACATTTAGTTTCATTTTAAATGTTGCCCTAACCACTAAAACATTAGTGGTTTTACAACCTCTGGATTATGGAAATATGTATTTCTGAAATAAATGCTACAAAAACAATGGAAGAAAGCTGAACTGTCTCAGAAAAGAAAAATAAGTGGAACATTTTGAAGCTTTTAGACACTTCTCTTTCCACGTCTTATGATTAACTTGTCAATTCAGTGCATTGTATGGTCAAATGTAATGGTCCCCATGTTGAACAAACATCTAACTAGTGTCCATTGATTCCAAATTAGTGGATGATGAATCTTTTTGGATACTTTCAAAGATGGCCGCCAGCTCAGGGTTAGAACTGATCTGCGACTGGAATTCACTCATCAGTGGACTCTTTTCTGCTTCTGGAATGGTTAGCAGTGCTGCTACTGCTCTCATGGCAGATCGCTTTAATTCATCTTGCTTTTCAAACTCCTGCTTTACTGAGTTTGCCTTTACCTGTAATACAGAGTAAACGGAGATTACATGCTATAAAGACAGCTCTGTTATTTAAAAAATTTAAGCAGACAGGAATATTTGGTAAATAAAAACACAAAGTCAACTGTTTTGTAGATCCAAAAGGCACACTACCGTCTAAACACAGTTTTAAACGTCTTTTCAAAGCAACGGCTTTTTTATTATTATTAACACTTTTATTAGTATGCATTGAGGAGTTCCATTGTGACATAGTCATAAATGTTTACAATGTACCTTGGAGAGATTTACCCCCTACATTACCTTTTAAGGGAACATTTTACACAAAGCCCTATAAAGACAAAATTTGGACTCACAAGGTTGAAACAGAGAGATTGGGACTCAAAGGTCTTACCTGCTTAGCAAGTCCTACTTTGGTCCCCTCATCAAGAAACTATGCCTGTAGCTACCCTTCTATTCACTATTCTTCAAACACCACAAAAATCATATCCCTGGTGCCTTTATTCATGTAATTACTTTGATTTAAAAAGCCTTATTTAAGTTTCTTGGTCTGAAATAAAATTCTGATTTTCTGAGACACATTTTAAATGTCACCACTCTCATATGTCACCACCCTTCCTATGCTTCTCTGCATAACCAGAATTAAATACTTCCTTTTTTATGGTCCTATCACATCTTATTCCACATTAGTACTTCAAAACACTCATAATACTGTTATAGCAAAAACAAAAGCTTTCAAGAATAGCACTAACAGTGCTAAGTTTTATAAAGTATTTGTATTCAACAGGTAAACTTTTTAAACCAAATGCTACATATGATGCTAGCATAATTATTTTTATTGTCATATTAATTGTGCAAAGTAGTCATTCATTTTCATTTAACACTTTGGTATCTCCCCCCTTGTACCAATATATCCTTAACAGTCCCCCCTTTACTTTCAAGTTTCCTCTTTTTGTTCCCCCAAATTCTACATGTGAGATAAAACATGCTATACTTGTCTTTCCTAGTCTAGCTTATTTCACTTAACGGGACGATCTCCAGTTCCATCCATTTTCCTGCAAATGACATGTCATTCTTTTTTATGGCCGAGTAAAACTTCATTGTGTACATATACCACGTTCTCTTTACCCATTCATCCATTGATAGGCACTTATGCTGATTTCATAATTTGGCTATTGTGCACAGTGCCACAATAAACATAGGTATACAGGTATTACTATTATAAACTGACTTTTAATCTTTGGGATACACACCTAGAAGTATAGATGGATCATATGGTAGATCTACTTCTTTTTCTTTTTAACCACAGTGGGAGTTGAAATCAGGATCTTGAATTTGCTAGGCAACCACTTGAGCCACTCCGGCAGCCCTTTTTTGCCTAGGTTATTTTGCCTATCTATCTCAAAAATCTATCAGTCTTGGCTGGTCTGGACTGAGACTCTTCTATTTATGATTCCCCACATAGATGGGAATGACAGGCATGCATCACCATGCTCAGCCATTCAATGGTTGAGTTGGGGGGTCTCGTAAACTTTTTGCCCAGGTTGGCCTCAAACTGAATCCCCCCAATCCCCACCTCTCAAGTATAGCTAGGATTACAGCTTGAGCCACTGCACCTGGTTAAGGGTTCTATTTTTAATTTTTTGAGAAACCTCCATGCCAATTTCCATTTTTTCCAATCATCTTAACAGCATTCATTTTTGTTTTCTTTTACTTTTCAGTACTGGGGATTGAATTAGGGTCTTAAGTTTCTGAGGCATTTGCTTACCACTTCAGTCCCAGGTCCTTTAGCTTTTTAATCTTTCAGATGGGGGTCTTGAGCTTTTGCCTGGGCCAGTCATGGACTGTGACCCTATCTACCGCCACCTTCTGAACAGCTAGGATTACAGACATGCACCATTGTGTCCAGCTTGTTTTTGAGATAGTCTCACAGTTTGCCTAGGCTGGTCTCTAACTTTGACCCTCCTATCTCTGCCTCCTGATTACCTGGAATTATGATTTGTATTTCAGCAGAACAAAGATGCTGAACATTTTTTCAAGTATTTATTGGCATTTGTACTTCTTCATTTGAAATCTGTCTGGCCAGTTCATTTGCCCATTTATTGATTGGATCAACTGCTCTTGTGGTTAATTATTTGAGTTCTTTATTCTGTATAATAATTCCCTGTTGGATAAGTACCTGCAGCCATTCTATAAGCTATCTCTTTCTCTCTGGTAACTGTTTCTTTTCTTGTGCAGAAACTTTAATGCAGTCCCATTAATTAATTCTTGCTATTACTGCCTGAGTTACTGGAGTCCTACTCATCAGCAGTTTCAAAGTTTCAGATCTTACATTCACATCATTGACCACTTGGAGTAGATTTTGTATAGCATGAGAGACAGGGCTCTAATTTCAGTCTTCTACATGTGAAAATCTAGTTTTCTCAATAGCACTGTTAGAGGGAACATATTTGCATATATTCTTCAATTTATGTTTTTGGCACCTTTGTTAAAACAGCTGTAGCTGTGTAGGCTTATTTTCAGATCTTCTATTCTGTTAGTCTACATGTCTATTTTTGTGACAGTACCAGGCTGCTTTTGCTACTATGGATCGTTAACATATTTTTAAGTCAGGTATTATAATTCCTCCAGCATTGCCTTTTGCCCAGCATTATTTTGGCTATCCAGGGCCTTTTGTGTTTCCATATGAATTTTAGGACTGTATTTCCTATTTCTGAGAAGAATTTCGCTGGAACTCTGATGGGTATTACATTGAATCTATAGATCACTTGGTAATATGGCCACTTCAACAATATTAGTTTTGCTAACCCATGAACGTGGATGATCTTCCCACCTTCCAGTGTTTCCTTCAATGTTTTATAAGATTTTATTCGAGAGGTCTCTTTCACCTCCTTAGGTTTATTCCTGAATTTTTTTTTTTTGAGGTTACTATGAATGGGATTGTTTTCTTGATTTCCTTCTCAGCAGCCTGTTTGTTATTGATGTATAGAAAAATCTACTGATTTCTGTATGTTGACTCTGTATCCTGCTAACTTTGCTGAAAGTATTTACTAGATCTAAGAGTCTTCTGGCGGAAACTTTAGACTCTTTGAACTATAGGATCACAAGGACAATTTGACTTCTTCCAATTTGCATTCCTTTATTTCTTTCTCTGGCCTTACTGCTCTAGCTAAGATTTCAAACATCATACTGAGTAACAATGGTGAGGGTGGATGCTCATGTCTTGTTCCTTATTTTAGAGGAAATGCTTTGTTTTCCTCCATTCAATATAATGCTAGCTGAGTCTGCACATACAGCCTTTATTATGTTGAGGTATGATCCTTCTGTTCCTAGCCTCTTTGGACTTTTATGACAAAGGCATGTTAAATTTTATCAAAGCTTTTTCTGCATCTATTGAAATGATCACAATTTTTCTTTTTTTGGGTAAGACTTGAATTTGAACTCAGGGCTTCCCATTTGCAAAGCAGGCACTCTACCACTTGAGCCACACCTCCAATCCATTTCTGCTCTGGTTATTTTGGAGATGGGACCTGGGTGAACTATTTGCACTGGCTAGCTTCAAACCATCATCCTTCTGATCTCAGCCTCCCAAGGAGCTAAGATTACAGAGTGAGTCACTGGCACAGGCTGATTTTGTTCTTGATTCTATTTATGTACAGTATTACATTTATTGATTTGCACATGTTAAACCATCCTTTCATTCTTGGAATGAAATCCACTAAATAATATCTTATTATCTTTTTAATATGATGTTGAATTCAGTCTGCAAGTACTTCAATCAGAATTTTGTGTCTGTGTGTTCATCAAGGAATTGTTCTATAGTTTTTGGCCTTATCTGGTTTTGGTATCAGGGTAATACTGGCTTTACAGAATGAGTTTGGAAGGGTTTTTTCTTTTTGTATTTTATGAAAATATCACTTAGCAGAACATGTGCCTGCAGCAAAGGCAAATCTAAAAGCAAAGTTTATAGGCGTAAGTGCCTACAATTAAAAAAAGAGAGAGAGAGAGAGATCTAAAATAAATAATCTAATGATCCACCCTCAAACTCTTAGCAAAAGAAGAAGACAAACCCAAAATAAATGAATTAGAGCTGAAAATAATAAAATGAAAACCAAAATAATAATACAAGGGGCCAATGAAACAATGAATTGGTTCTCTGAAAAGATAAAACAAGACTGACAAACCATCAACCAAACTAATCAAAGGAAGAGACAGAAGATCCAAACAAATAAAAATAAGAGACAAAGATGAAGATATCACAGCAGATACCACTGAAGCGCAGGGATTAAGGATATCCCTAATGATATTCCAATAAATTAGAAAATTTAGAAATCTAGACATACATGACCTGCCAAAACAGAACCAAGATGATAGAAGCAATCTAAACAGATTTATAAGGACCAATGACATTGAAGCAGTAATAAAAAGAATCTCCCAACAAAGAAAACACAAGATCAGACGGATTTACTCCTGAATTCAAACAGACCTTTAAAGAACTAACATCAGTCCTCAAACTATACCATAAACTAGAAAGGTGCTAGCATAATTTGGAAAACTAGAGAATATAGAGTAAGTTAGGAATCCTGAATGCAAAAATTTGCACCAGAAAAATCAGCACCTTTTTTGTCTTAAAGAACTTTTCATTTTTAAATGAGAAAACTTATGAAAGAAGAAAAATCATGATCACAAAAAACATTTTATCCTGAACATGACAGGGCAAATAGACACTGGACTTATCTCCATACTCCATAAACCTTACACCAAGTGCAGTGTAAGTTGATGCCTGTCACTGATTACCTTAGTTGTACATGTGGCACGTAATGGTTCAACAAGTCTGTCCAACCTCTGTAGCACTGCACTTGGACACAGGGTAGAAAGTCTCACCAACATTAAAAATGTTAGCATCTGTTAGGAATAAAAAAAGGACAAAAATCTAGATTTAACATTTTTCTAAAGACAAAAATTGTAAATTCAAACAAACCTTTCATTTTTAATTTTCTTATTATCATAAGATTAATTATACAAAGGGGTTTCATTGTGATATTTATATACATGCATATAATGTACTTGGATAAATTCACTGTCAACATTACACTTTAACACTTGTCCCTCCCTCCTCCTTTTAAGCATTTTAGTGGTTTCACTGGGCTATTTTCATACATATATTTAATGTACTTTGGTCATATTCACCCCCTCATCACTCTGCCCGCCCTCTTCTTTCACCGTTATGTCAACAGTCCCCCTATTACAATTACTGACTACCCTTTTAATAGGAAAATGACTAGCATATAAAATAAAGCTTCATTTTAATGTAATAAGCCTTTGAGAATCACATATATTTATCTCAAACCTTATTTGACGTAAGTCGAATAGAGACCAACTACCATGTCGTACAAGAAAATAAAACTAGACAATTGGTTTTCAATCTTGGTTGCAGATTAGAATTAGCAAGCAAGCTTTTGAAGCATATCCATTCCTCAAGTCCCATTCCTAGACAGTTTTATTTAACCAAATAGGATATTTTTGGGAGGTTAGGAAAGGACTTGGGGTTTGAACTCAGGGCTTTACACATACTAGTCAAGCACTCTCCCACTTGTGCCAAATCCACAGAAAATTCAGTATTTTTTAAAAGGCTCACATGCAACAGAACAGAAATTCATAGAACTACAAAATACCTGAACTGGAAGAAAAGCTATGTAAGTTTCTACTACCTCAGCAGATTTTGGAGTGGGGGAGGCACTGTTACTCAAATTAATCCACACAATACCCAACAAACAATGTAAAACCACACATATTTCTGCTTAGCTATCACTTTTGCTCTACATAGCCAAAGGCCCTAATGGAAGAATAGGTGAAAAGAACCTAATACTTTACTTTTTAAATCATTCACATTTAAATCAAGAGATGAGAAATGAGAAAAACATTAGTGTTCTAAGTAAATCCATGCTCTAAATCTAAGAAGTAACATGATTCCTCTCTAGTTGCTTCCACAGATTGTTTTGAATGTGTGAAAACTATTTTTCCATGTTGTGCTATACCAAATTCTTGATATTAAGCGCAGTACACTAAATTGAAAACAAAAATCCCTCATTTAGTTAAACAAAAAAGTTATCATTCGGATCAGCTAGAAATATAGCCCAAGAAAATTAACTGAGCCAGTACAAAGAAACTAGAAAAACCCTCCATGGGTAGAAAACTACAGTTCAACATTAAAACAGGCAAAAAAGATCACAATTTGTACTTTGAATAGCAAAACCTGCCTGGACTTTTAAGGGGAAGAATATAGATAGGAATATTCACTAAGCAAGCTAGAGCAACATTTCTTAAGAATTTTGCATCCATTCAACTTTCACTTTCAATAAAAAGGATTTTGGACTTTTTGTGTATCAACTGATGTTACAATGCCTCTCTGCTACTTCTATGTATTATAGTTTATAAAATGCTCACTAAAATCTTGATAGCCCAACTTTACTCACTTATACACATAAGTAAATTACAACGGCAAAATCTGCTAAAGCAAAGTGTTCTAAAACATTGTATAAACAGTCACAAAAGTCTTACCTTAATATCATAATGGTCCTTCAAACCATCTTCAACATGATTTAGAAACTCAAAGATATCTAGTCTATCAAGACAACTATCTAGCAGTGTATACATACACTCAAAAGCTGCCTTTCTAATATCCAAGCCGTCATCAACTGTGTGTTTAAATGGACCCATTTCTACCTGTTAAAGCAAGAAAGAGTATGTGAATATGTTATTTAAAAGTAAAAAGCTTAGATAAACAATGAAATCTTAACTTACCTCTCGTATAAGCTCCTTCCTAACTTTTGTTTCATTGTAAAGATGTGGAAGAACAGTATCTAAAAGATCCCTTATTAATGATGGCTTATTATGAGCTGCTGAATTAAATGTGACCAAGGCTACTCTTCGTACATTCAAATCTGGGTCTTCCAAAGTTTTTAGGAAATCGCCTGAAAAATCATTAAGCAATATATAATTATGGTAAGCTTAACATATAAGATAAACAGTATTTTTTCTAAATTAATTTAGCTTCTTATTCTTGGTATCACTGTTACTTCATGAAAGAATCTGATGAAACGGTAAGTGAAACATTAAGTTTATTTGGCAGCAAAGAGACTATTATTTCTTAAGTACATTTAATTGATAATCTACTCTTGGCACCTATAAATTCAGTGGTATTGACCTAAAGTTCCCCAATATTACTTTTATAGATACTTTATGAAGAGGTAGGCTACACAAAAAACTGACGGAGCCAACAGCCAAAAAAACCTAATGACTTTCAACACTCTCCTTTATAGCTCACTAAAAGCAACAACAAAAATTTTGGAGATCAGGTATATAGGAGGCAAAGAGGTGAGGACTGCAGTTCAAAACCAGGTAAAAAAGTTAGTGAGACTCTACCTCAGAAAAAAGCTGGGTACAGTAGGGCCCACTGTAATCCCAGCTACACAGCCACTTAAGAGACAGAGGTAGGAGGATCGCAGTCCAAGGCTAGTTTGGGCAAAAGCAGGAAAGCCTACCTGAAAAATAAACTAAAGCATAAAGGGCCAGGGGTGTGGCTCAAGTGGTAGAATGCTTGCTTAGCAAACATAAGGTCCTATGTTGGTCAATGATTTAGAAGTGGGGCTGAATGAAAAAATGAAATGTCTGATTATAATGAAGTTCAAAATAAGATTAACAAGATGAGGACAGACTCATTGCTTCACAAAGATTCAACAAATGACAGAGAGATGTGCCTCCAAGTGTTTTGTATCTTCACCTAAGAAATACCCGAGTTAGCAAAAACATAAAGAGTATTATAGGAAGAAACTGAAGCCTACCAGGACAAATACCAAAGATAGCATCTAGCTACATTAAAAGCAGATTTAGATCTGCTATTTTTACAAATGTGGGGAAGAATTAAAGTGTGAAAATCTATGAAGTCACACAGGTAATGGATTAAGATCATTTGTTAAATGTATAACTTTGGGCAAGTTCTTTAAGCAATCAATTTCCTAATCAATGAAATGAAAATTATACTTTTAGGGCTACTGAGCAGAATAAACAGCATGTACAATTGTTGCAAACAATGTCTGGCTCATAGGTAACATAACTGCACAGTAGAAATTATTTCTCATTCTATGATCCCAACTTTATCAGCAATCTTTTAGAATATACACGGAAATAAAGGAGAGATGACAGAAGAATTATCAATCTGAAACAAAGCAAATGGACAAAATGAAGAGAGACTTCAGACACTGAGGAGAGACTTCAGACTTCAGTAAACTCAATACTGGTGTCCAGAAAAAGTACTAGAATTGATCTTAAAAGGCTTAAGTGATAGCATGACTTCAAAATTATTTTGATGTACCAGAATAATCCTCCCTTTGTTTACATAATTCCTAAACCGGAATAAACTAGAACATTGTAAGAATAAATAGAACAGAGCATATATCTGCTTTCAGTAAAGCATAGTATATTTTAATATTGTTAGTATCATGGACAAAATGGTGTTTTGTGAAGAGTAGACTAGTGGTCTCTAATTCTGTAGTCCTGGAATTCAATTTTTAAGTTTCTTAGGTGGTACTAAATGTTCAAAGAGTCAAACACTGAACTATATGGTAATTCAATTAGAATGATAATCACCTGATTGAGTAATTATTTCAAGTATGCACAACTGACTACTGTCAAATTTTGAAACGTGTCTCTAGGTATGTGGCACAGGCCTCTTCCTCTGTCCTATCTTGTATAGTACAAAATTATGAATAAACACATCAAAGCAAAAAATGGGTTGTAGGGGAGGAATGGAGACAAGCTTCTTCTCATACAGACTTTATTATTTCTAAGTCCTCGCAAGAGCACCAATATGTGCCTATGTCCTCTTAATCTGAACTGGTAATCTCTTTCTACAATTCAAAATATTTCCTTTTTCCTTTTCTGGCATTGCAGAATAGCACGAAACTATAAAGCTTCTCTGCCATATCCCTCTAGTTTCTCTCTTGTCCTCAGGAAAGCACCAAACTAAGTTCTGAGAGTTTTTGGTAGCCACCAACTCCAAAGAAACTAATGATAAAAACAATAAAACACAAGATGTTATAAAAATATTAAGTAATCTCGGAAGCTAATTCCTGTCTTCACAGAAACAGAGATGGCTCTAGTGTTTCTTGGGTATATCCTCTTAGTTCTTCTGGGAATTAGCTCTACCCAACTTTATTTTCTTTGTTCTTAGGTTATTGCCACCTTATGTGAGAACATTTCCTTCAGTCCCTGAGAACTGGAAGGTTTTAAGCAATAATTAAAACTTGGGCCTCGAACAGCGCAAATGAGGTTCATTTGTATCTGAGAGGTGACTTATTAGTTAGATCTAGTACCTTTTTGTTTCATTCACTGAAGTTATCTTAGGTTGTCCAACAGATAGGACTACTAGATAGGTTGATTCTAAAGACATGCCAGTATATTTACTAGTTTTAATTATTTCTAAAATCATCTGGTAATGATTTTAAACTAAGCAAGTACATATAAATGAATCTGTTAAAGCTGTAAGATCATACATTATCAACAATCTTTTTAAAGAAACAATTTACCTTATGAGCATTTTAAAAATCATTAATTTTTAGTCACTGAAATTCTGAGTTCCTTGACAGTAACTCTGTATTTCCCCCAATAGCTAATCAGTACATTTATCTTTGTTTCCACTTACCTATACAGTTCTTTAATAGTGGATCAATAGGTTGAGGATGATCAGAAATAGTAAACTTCACAGCTGTAACCACAGAGCTTCGGGCATATGAGGAGCCTAATTAAAAATAAATTACAAGTCTAGTGATACATAGTACCTAAGAATCCGTGGACATTATTTTTCAAAGTATGCAACATAATACCAGTGTATTAAATTCCTTAGAATTCTCTTTGGCCTAAAAGAATATTTGTTACTGCTCTCAAGATACTAAAGGAGCAAAGTTTACTTACCTTAGAAATATAATCCCATTACATTGCAAAAGAAATAAATTCTTCTGTTAGGCGGGGACCCAAGGAAGGAAAAATGGAGAATCCAGCCCTTACAAAAGGGGGCTGGTTAAGTCCATACATAGCTTATAAAATTTTCAAACTTTTTACTAAAAAAAGAAATTTTTAAAGAATGGACAGCCATTACTACCTTATACTTGTGCTAATGGAGTCAACACTGGTAAATCCAAACTCTGTTCTTAAGATCTCTCATTTGAAATTCTTTCTTCAATTAAAAAATATTAATACTAGCAAGCTATTTATGTTATACTAATTCAGGAGCTGTCTCTTCCATATTTTAAGGCAAAACAGTAACATTAAAATGTAGTCAGGAGAAGAAACTAGATCAGATTAAGCATTACTTAATTATACTATCTTTCTTCTAAACATCAAAAATGCATTTGGAAAACAGCCCTACATAGTAACACAAAGTAGCTTTTCATCACATACCATTAGCTTTTATGTATTAAAAAGAAAAAAAAGGTATGTTTTAGCTTCCTCATTAGGCATGTTTCAAGGTAGCCAATTGTCACTAAATTTCTTTAAGTAAGAAAATCCATATACCCACCTGATATCAAATACCCCTTAAGCCGTGGAAGAAGAGTTTCTGGATCAATTAGAGTGAGTTTTCCTAGACATTCAGCAACAACATTTCTGGTACCTTCCTCTGCACACTCGCAGTGCTTTAGTAGTAAGGCCCAGATGTTTTCAACATATGGTTTAAGGCCCACCACTGATGCAGAGCTAATAATCTCCTTCAGGGAATGAAGCAGAAGATACTGCCTCTTGGGTTGACTGGTTATTTCTTGTAAGACAAACGGCAGATATTCAGGAAGGTTGCCCACACTAATGCTGCCTAAAGCATAGGATGCAGCTGATTTCACTTCTTCACTAGGAGATGAGAAAGCTTCTAATATTACAGATTTTAGTTCCAACTGCCCACTTAAGTCAATATGATGCCCAACTTCTCCAAGAGAAAGGAGTGCTAAGAGACGAATGGAATCTGTAGACCTTGAGTTCTTGACATCTTGAATAAACTGACCTACTACAGCTGGACCCTCTTTAGGGCATGCTCGAGTAAGGGCAGCCACACATTTGGCAATGGAATAGTAAGACTGCTTATGAGTAAGAGCTGTGCTCTGAGAGTAAACTGGACCAGTCAGCATGCGCAACAAATCCATATATCCTAGATTATTTGTTCCAGTGACAACCAGAGCTTGGAAAAAGTCTAGCATGGCACTAAGCGCTCCCCCCTGCAGTAAGGGTGATCTCACAAGTCCAATAAGTTCATTAAGAATGGATCCACTTATCTTTGAAAGGGAGGAAGGATACACTTTTGCCAGAGTAGTAAGAAAACTGATAGCCATCTGTGAAACATGCATATCGCTTTCACTGATAAGAGGTGGGAGCTCATCTAGAACTGCATCAATCATGGCAGCTGTCAAGCTGTCACTATAGTTTTTAATTAAAATATCTAGGGCAGAAAGGGTGCCCAGTTTCAGAGCTCTCTGGTTTTTCCTGAGAAATGAAGCAAGGATAGGAACCCCTTCTCCCAAGATAGGCCTCAAATCTATCTTCAAAGGTGATCCAGCAATCAGTGTCAATGCTTTCACTGTAGTTAACCGGGTAATTTCATTCTTAAGTCTCTCCAAGAAAATCTGAAGTGTATTAGGCAAGTCAGAACCCAAATTGTCTCCAAGGTTGCAAATAATTTGCCCCATACAGGAAATAGCCCTTTCCTTGACTTCCTGGTCAATGTCTGCTGCTTTTAACCTCTTAATGGTACAGGTAAATAGATCTTTGATGTAAGGAGTGGCATCAAACGAAGAAGGCTGATCTAAAGGACGGATTACTTTGACAAGCTGTTGGGTAACAAGAAGTGCTTCTGATGTAATCTTGTAAAATGGATCTCCAACACAAGCCACCACTGGAGGAACCAAAGCCTGAACGTGAGGATGGAAGACTTGAGGAGAGTGGTTACAGAGGATTACGTATAGGCATGACAAAGCATCAATCTTCAAATTTGATGAGCTTGATTTATCGTTCAATGAGAAAATGATTCCTAAAAAAACCAACAAAATATGTAATCATTTCTGTGCAGTTTAGCAAAAATTAAAAACCAACTCCTAAAATACTGCTAACATTCCCACCTTTATAATATGATCTCTAAAGTAGTAGAAACTTCACAACTTAAGTGCTCTATGTACAGCTTAAGTTGTCACAAATTTCCCTTTTCAGGGAAAAAATTACTTACATTCCCCTAAGTATTAAAATAAAAAGCCCTTTAAAGTTCCCAAAGAGAATGATCATTTCTCACATACCTGGTACAAGAACAGGAATGTGTTGCGTTAGGGCCCCGGGTAATACATTTACCAGTTCAGTTAACATGTTAAAACAACACTGTCGGGTCTTCACACTTTTTTCTTTCATCTGCTTGTGCAGAGCTTTAACAATGTTGGGAACCTGTAATCATCATATACTCATTAGCTGGTTCATTCACTGGTATTTCCTCAGTATACTTAATATGAATTATGGGATATGAGAAGAAAAAGAAAGAATTTATCTCTCTTTTTTTTTTTTCTGGCAGTACTGGGATCTGAACCCATGGCCTCATGCTTGCTAGACAGGCAATTCAACTTGAGGCACTCCTCTGGCCCTATTTTGTGTTTGGTATTTTCTAGATAGGGTCTTGAAAATACTAAATAATAGGGTCTTAAGAATTATTTGTCAGGGCTGGCCTTGAACTGTGATCCTCCTGATCTCTGCCTCCTGGGTACCTGGGATTGATTATAGGCATGAACCACTGGAACCCAGCTTTTGGTTACATTCCTGATTCATTTCTCTACTGAGACTACTAATACAGGCACTGTTAGATGTGAACCAAATATGCTGCATATTCTATATATGTTCTCCTGTAACTATATTTGCTTGATCGTAAAAAAATTAGAGAAAAACTGTCATTTATCTTTCTGCAGAACAAAGTAGTCTTTCTTCTTGATTAAAATAATTTCCAACCAAAAATTTAGGAATCTTAATTTATAAATGGAAAACCAGCAGAGAGCATTAAAGGAACTAAGATGAATTATGGAAAAGCAAAGATAAAATAGTCTCTTTCTCTCTTTTTTTCCCTTTCAGTTTGCTGGTACAATGAAAGCAATTTCACTTCAAAAAGTAGTTACAAACTGCAGGGGTACATTCAGAGACATCTGGTCTAAATTGTGTTAGAAAACACTATAGACAGTAAAACTCTCTACTGACAAATTTTATGGACGCTAGGTTACAAACAGAGCTTCTAAAATCCCTCAATAACAAAACAAAAAGAGATTAAAAACAAAACCAAACAACCCTCCCCAAACAGCAACACTACATAGACACCTATCATACTAAACGATGATCAGAGAAATAGGGACAAAAGAGATTAACTAATACTCTGTGGTATTATCATAATTCCCAATGATTCCACTAAACAATCTCTAATATCTACACACTTAGTGCTTTTATCACATTTTAAAATCAATGTTCATCATTATGGATAAGTTCTCAAAATTTATTTACTTGCATTAATTGAAAACAAGATGCATATGGCATGTGTTATTTCCTCCTCTTTCAAATCTGTTTTGTAATCTATTAAAAAAATAGATATACTTATAGACCTCCTACATTACACAAAAGAAAATGCTTGGTATGTACTAAATACTCAATAAATAAGAGCGCTAATATTTAGAATCTAAGAAAAAGATGGCAAGTGAAAAATATGTATGTTATTAAGAGCTGTATGTGGTTGGCACTATAATGAAGCCCCACACAGATCATTTTATCTCACTACCATGGGTAGATATTTCTAAGTGAACTCTTGCTACAAATGAGTAAAGCAAGGTTTAATAAAATGACTAAATTAGAAGTGAAGTTGGTTATATGACCCCTTGCACTCTATCACATGAGCCACACTTACAACCCTTTTAGCTATAGTAATGTTTTCAGACAGGGTCTTGGGTGTTTTGCCTGGCTGTCCTCAGACCATCCTCCTCCCAGCGATGCCTTCCAGTAGCTGGTATTAGAGATGTGCCCCACCAGGCTTGCTTTGTTCTTTGAGACAGGTCTTGCTAACTTTTTGCCTGGGCTGTCCATGAATCATACTCTTCCCCATCTCTGCCCCCAAACCCCCTGCCAAGTAGCTGAGATTATAGCCTGGGTCACCAGGCCTGACCTTTGAAACTCATATATTCACTTAAAAACAATTTTTTAAAACCACATTTCCTATCATTGCTTTCTAAAACACACTTTTAAACTGACCTGACTTTGAAGCATTGTTAAAGGTGTTTCTCCCTGTTCCATTGCATCAGGGTCGCACAGCCAACTTTGCACAGGACGAGTTTGCTTCAAAAGAGAAAGGTATGCATGAAAAACATCTGCCTTTACATTCTCTTCACGCTCTTTAAATCTGGATATCAGTGCAGGAGAGACGGTCTTGTAGAATTCTGGAAGCATTTCATGCCTTGTGCTAACTACGGCATCCAGGCACTTAGCAGCTGCGCGTCTCACTTTCCAACTCATGTCATCATCATCACTGTATTCATCATCACTCCCTAAAGGGAAGTTTTAATGTGAACAAGCTATTAATGATCTAAAAAAGCACATCATTTAATACAGAAAGTGAATTGGTATTTTTAACCACAACAGTTCATCTAACTTTTCATTAACAAATACGATAGGTATATGTATAGGTTTAAAAAGAACTAGACCTTAAATAACAAATGCAGGGCTTGTTATTTACACAAATTTGCCCATACATTAATTTTAAAGAAAAATGATCATGATTAGTATAATTTGCTACACATTTTCTCATTTGTTGTAGGTAACAAACTGCTGCTTACTTATAGCCCTTTAAAGTCATTAATACATTAGTCTTTAGAATATAAATATTTAAACAAAAATTTCCCAGCCTTTAAAAGAAAATTCAAAGGACTGACTACTATTGGAAGATCAAAGGGAGTGTTTCTAGGACAAACTATGAAACAGATTTGTGATTACAGACTATGTGATAAAAAGAACAGTTAAAAATTTCATTCTAATTTTCTGAGGGAGAAAGAATCCTGACATTAGCTTTGTGACAAGGCTTACTAAACTTACTGATATGCTATTAGGACAAATATGCATATTCTCAACCTTTCAGTTTAGTCTAAAGAAACTATATGGTGGACTTTAGACCTAAAACAAATGCAGTAATATAACTGGACATGGGTTACATGATAAGAGGAGAATGTGTACAGGAGGAATAGGGAAAGGGAAGGAAACCTAAAACTTGAAAGTGTTTGATGTGCCTACTGTAGAGGAGTGAATAAAGTAATCTTAAACTGACAGAAGCCACTATGGGAAGGTAAACAGGAAGTAGTGAAGAGGTCTGGTAGAGATGAACCAATTCAGGTTGTAATACACATGTGCATGGAAGCAATGTTAGGAATGTCTCTGCATAGCTATCTTTATCTCAAACTAGCAAAAACGCTGTGTCTTTCTTATTATTGCTTATGTCTTCTCTTCAACAAAACTGGAAAAGAGGCAGAACAGGTTCTGCCAGGAAGTAGGGGAAGGGGAGGAGAGGAGGCCTGGGGGGCAGAGGGGAGAGATGGCCCAAACAATGTATGCACATATGAATTAATGTATAAACAATTAACAAAAGACTATATGATCCTCATTACACCAAGAAAATGCTGCCCACTATCAGGGTATTATTTTCTCCAAACTCCTAAGGTTAAACCTTAAACATTCCAAGCTTAAATACTGAGAATTTCATGTTGCTGATGTATACCTGATTGCATAAATTGTGTGTTTGTGTGTAAAACCTCAAGAAATTACTTACTATGTATAGTAAGTAATAGTTGTACAGTGTCAACTACATAGTTGGCACTATAATGAAAACTACACAGACCATTTTATCTTAGCCATCAGGCTGAATAAGTTGGGTACCAAAAATATCTGCAGTTCTCATGACAGTCTAAAACTATCTAACAGTGATTTTTTTTTTTATTCTTAGAGAAAACTATAAAGCATGGAAATGATTCCTCAGTGTTTATGTGGGGGGTGGAGAGTGTGATATTACTTGACTAGCTTATATTTCATTTAGCTAAATGGTAGCCAAATGAAGTCAGCTAGACCTTAGAACAGGATAATATAATTTTCTAATCACGAAATGTTTTATTTAATTTCATTTGCTTTAGCACATTAATAGGGAAATTCAACCAGTGATAAAATACAAGGAATTTGATTCATTCACCAATACCTATTTAAAGTTTAAAGGTATTGCCAAAATAGACTATTAAAAGAAAACAAACCAAGTCTTTTTCCACATCAACACGAGACATACATGACAGAAATATGTTTATTGAAAGTAAGTACATAAAAATTAACAAATGTCCTAATCACTGAAATTATGAGTCACAAAAACACCTTGAAAGTATAATGGTAAGTCCAAGGACTGAGCCTTGGAATGCTATGTTTAATGGTAGAGAGATGAAAAAGAACCAGAATGGACAACCAAAGAGAAGTAATCACAATGACAGAACTAAAAGCAGGCACATATGGTATGCCTAGAAGCTAAATAAAGAAATGTTGCTGAGACTGAGTAGCAGGCAAAGTTCAACATTTGCAGGGTTTTGCAATCTTGAAGGACTGGGTTAATGATGAAGATGAAGGGAAAGAAAGGAACTGAACAGCATTTGTTTGAGGAGTTCTGCTGTAGAGAAGAGAAAATGAACAGAATCTGCTAAAGGAGTATATGGGCCTTGGGAGGTTTTTTTTTTTTTTTTTTTAAACTGGTAGTTTTGTTTTCTTTTTAAAATGGGTTAAATTACAGAATTATTAGGAAAGTCATTATATAAAGCCAAAGAATCAAGCTAAAGATTGTTATTAAAAATAATAGAAAATCTTGCTGGGTGCCAGTGGCTCACATCTATAAGCCTAGCTACTTGGGAGGACTGAAGTTTGGCCCAGTCAAAGCAAAAAGCGAGACCCTATCTTAAAAACACCCAATACAAAAAAAGGGGTGGTGGAGTGGCTCAAGTGGTAGAGTATCTGCATAGCAAGTGTGAGGCTTAAAGTTCAAACCCAAGGACCACAAAAAAAAAAAAAAACCACACAAAAAAAACAAGAAAATTCACCAACCAAGTTAAATATCTATTATGATTTTTCCGATACAAACAGAAATAACTAAACATGAGCAATACTTATGTCTTTGAAGTGCTACTCCTTTCTAGAGTAACTACCACTAAAAAGTGACAACAATCTTAGGAGCATCAAAAATGTTTGTTTATGAAAGTTAAACAAGGCCTCAAACAATATTTAGGACTTTTTCATGAATGTAACTATAAACAAACAAAATTAACAGTCTTTCAATACCAACCAAACTGATCTGAATATGTGTATATTCAGATACAGTATTTTTAAAAGATGATTTACCTTCTTACAAAAACACTGCAGAAAATTTGAATACTAAAGAATGGCTCAATCTGCATTAAGAATCACATCCATTTATGATAGTATTATGAAATATAACAAATAGATTCCTTCTATTTAATTTGAGATACCTTGATCATCATCATCACCACCATCAGCATCCATAGCATTTTCATCCTCATCTTCATCATCGTAATTGTAATTTGGATCATAGGTAAGGTATTTGAGACAAATGTTTATAATGGTAGAAACGTGAGGATATACTTCCTTAGGACATCTGAAGACAAAGATAAAAGCTGCTTTAAATAACTGCCTTCATTCAGTATCTGCCACAATTTCATCACCAACAATATGTGTGGACGAGTGAGACCACTTGATCTTTTTCTTCCATGGACTACGTTTTAAAAGATTTACCTTTCAAATTATATTTATTTAATCAATTTTAAGATAAGCATCATACAGACAGATGGACACACCCATATACATATTTTAACTACGTTTTGGTTAACGAGGAGGGATATAGAGAGAAACTGGAATATGTTCTACATTCTCAAGGTGAAGATCAAATACAACTAGTATTATTTGTGAAAATGTTAGTGCATTCATTAGGTTGATCTTCTTGATATCTGTTGAGAAAACATAACATATAAATGCCCACAAGACCAACAAATAAAGAAATAATGTGTTTCTTAAAGAGACAGAAACAAACCCCAGAATTTCCAATTACAAAAAATTTGATTATAAAGTTATTTCTCAAAACTATGATTGGCAAGGAATACTGCAGACAAAAATCAGTAAGATATCAATATAGCCTTACTATATTAATCAAAGGCAAAAAAAAACCTGTTGCTCAGCCTTCTTGTACATAAGTGCACAATTTTTATTAAGATATTTAAAAAATATTAGTCAAGGTTTCCAAATTGAAAATCACTGTTCTAGCAAAATGGATGTAAGAGATCTAAAATAAAAAACTTCTGAAAGGACACAAAATTCACTATTTCTCATCAGATAATTTATTCTGCTGCTCTGGACACATACTACATTATCATATACCACTAAAGAGCATCTCTTTACCACTAAAGAGGCAAAAACAAAAACAAACCAAAGTTATTATAAATGCTTTCTCAGCTTCATTAAATAAAGTTCTATTAACAAAAAGGAAACATTTTAAAATGTGATGACCATATTTTATAATAGTGAGATATTAGCTTCAAGTATAGTATGGCTTATCATTTTATTTAATAAGGAACTAATTAAAATACATCTGAAATCCTATAAGCCATTTCTCCTTGTTCACATAATCTAGATCTTGATTATTATCCTATTCTTAAGGAAAACGTTAAAAAAACAGAATCTTACAAACTTTACCTTCTCACAAATGATTCAAAGGCTTGAATGCAGTACTCTCTTAATTCATCGTCATCTACATTACAAAATTTTACCACCAAAGGAATTATCTTCTCAAGGTATTCACCTATGAAAAGCATATGGCTTCTTAAAAACATGCACTACTTTTTAAAAATTAAAACACAACTTTAAAAACTTTTTAAATTTCTTACCTATTCTATGACCAGCT